TCTCCACTCTGAAAGTATCTGCTGGGATCCCTCTTTATCACTGCCCTCCCTGTTTCTTGGTTTTACTGATATTCAGACTGTGACTGAAGCAAGCGTGCAAATATACATCCCACCTCATCCAGGAGAATCTATACAGTTATTTCACCAAAAAATAAAAGTCTCTTTCTGTCCCTAATGGTAGACACCACTTGTCATTTTCAGGTGGTTCAGGCTACTCAGTTGTCCAGTCTTGAGGCTGTTCATCATGAGCCTAACAGGTAAATGGACTCGTATTCCTCAGGAAGAGCCAAAAGTGCTCACCTAAATGGCTTGCTGTGCTGTGTTTCCTTCTCAGCTTTTTCCATTTCACAGCTTTACATTAAGAGTAATTGTATTTTGCTCTCTTTCTGCTGGAACACCAAGGAATGTAAAAGACATATCAAAGCCAGAACAAAATTGTCATTCAGGAGTGAAACTAGAAAGTCCTTTTTCTGTTTCTGTTTTTTTCAATTCTCTTCCAACAAAGGTTCCTATGAGGCAAAGTTTCAAGATCAAAAGTAACAAGCCGGCACAAAAGCAAGGGCTATTCTGGGGAAAATAAATAAATAAATAATAAATAATAATAAATAAATAAATAAATAAATAAATCTTAATGGGATGGGAACCTGTCATTCAAGCCATTTATAGACCAATGACGCTTGCTATTTTGCTGTTGGAAGATCATTTTCTAGTGGTGGTTTGAAGTCCCCTTTTCTTTTGTGAAGACCAAATGTGCATCATTGCACGAGTGTGCCATCAGGTATCAGAGCACTTGGAGCTTGGACTGTGACCCTCACTTGGAGGGACATCGTTGCTGTCAGGCGACAACTGGTGGAGTAGCTGCACAGTTTACCGTAGGTAGGAAGGCTGTAGTTTCCCCTTGTCTTGAAGCTGAATCAGTGCTTCCACAGAAAGAAATGAAGCTACCCACCTCCAGTCATTTACTCTGGCCTCAAACCTACCTTGCCTTTGAGCTAGAACAAATCAGTTGTGCCATCAAGTGACAAGGCAAGACCCAAGGAACTAAAATATAACCTGACCAAAATTTAAAAAAGAGGTTTATTTTTCAGCTAGCTAATTCCCCAGTATATTCTCAGAAAACTTTGTGCTAGCACAAGGAAGGAAATGAGTGAAAATAAATGATCAGGGAAAAGGGCAGTACTGCTTCTTTCAATGGCTGTGCTTGTTTATGTAGGTTGAAAGTGTTTTTTGAAGTATAGCCAAAGGATAGTCATCTGAAAATGTCTGAGTCACTGTACAACCTGGATTGATTCCCTTTCCTTTGGAAAAGACAGCTCAGATTGTTCATGCTGTTGGGGATTCACAAGTTTGGACAGTTTCCCCTCATCTGGATACTTACTGTGGGAGGTAACCTTGAGTACAGTCTGGGGAAAAACAAAGAAATTGAGTGGCACACAATGAACAGTGTTGATTGAGTTAAAGTCACTGTGAGTTTAACAATGCACAGAGAAATCTGGTCCTTAAATCTGGCTCACCTGTGCTGGCCAGCATAACAGAAATAGGAAAGGGATGATACACACAATGAATTGCTATTGGCAACTGGCTCTCAAGGCCATGAAACTGTTATGCATTTCTCTTTCTGGAATACATAAGGACTGGATTACAGGGATGTTTCTTCATTGCATGAGAAGGAACTGAGACATGAGACATGTTGGGCTGCTCTGATGTCTACAATTTTCTGAAGACATTTTCAAGACAACTGTGTCATTTACTGTATTGTTAAAGTGAAGGTAATGGAAATATAAATGTGTTGATGTCCTTCTACTAGAATCATTTTTACTCAAGTGGACTGGTGGGATAAAAGCTTATAGCTTCCTTTAAATTAGCAGGTAAATCGCCTTGCTTAAGCCATTGAAATGCATGGCTTTTTTGACAGTTATTTTGAATTCTGTCCTGAGTGATACATTTAACGAGTGTCAATACCTTCATCTGTTGGGCCTCAGAAATTATGGATTTGAAAGGACAAACAAGCTGTTATCAAGGCTTTAATTTATGATTTTGTCACCAGATTCAAAGGTTTCTGACGAAGTGAATCGGTGCTATTCTGTAATAATTCCACTGTCAGCAATGAAACAAGCAAAAAATGGCTGGCATTAACTAAGGCCGATCTAGCCTGGTGGTCAACAAGATGCAGTAGACCAATGGAGAAAATTAGAAGGAGGTATGGAGGATGTGAAACAGCTGCCTGAAATACAGCAAACTGCAGTAGCAGCAGCAGCAGCTGAGCAAACTGCTCTAGTACAAGCACTGACAAGACCAGAGACAGGCTGAAGACATTTATAATGAATTAGTCTGGGATGAAGAGATAAAGAGAACCTTGTAAAATCACTGAAGAAGTGAGAACAAACTGCTCCAAGGAAAGCATTACCTGCAAGGAGTGTTATCATAGCAAGGAAAATCAAGGTTATTCTAACCTTGCAGCAAAGATGTACTCATTTTAAGAAATGCAGCAAAATCCCTTGTATGTGAAGTATGTTATAAAGGTTTTGACAAGCACTGTGAAAGCTAAAAGCTGTTTAACTTAAGCTGGTGAATAGGGGAAGGATTTATAAGATCCATACCCATTAGTTGCCATTTTAATGGTCAAAATATGATCAGAAGTGACCGAGTTACAAGACTTATACTCACTCACCAGTTGAACTGGTAAATTATGTGGAAGTTGCCAGTCATCATGACTGATTGTACAAATTGCTTCCTCTCTAACTTCACTATGCTGGGGCTTCGAAGCTGTCCCACTCATAGAATCATAGAAGGTTAAGGCTGGAAGGGAGCTCTAGAGGTCATCTGATCAAGCAGGACCACCCAGAGCAGGTTGTCCAGGACCATTCCCAGACAATTTTTGAAGATCTCCAAGGAAGGAGATTCCACAACCTTTCAGGTCAACTTATTCCAGTGCTCCATCACCTTGAACATTACAGAAGTGCTTCCTGGTGCTTAGATGAAACCACTTGTGTTCAAATTTATGCCCCGTGATTCTTATCCAGGCACAAGCACCACTGAAAAGAGCCTGGTTCTGTCTTCTTTTCAATATCCTTTCAGGTATTTATACAGACTAATAAGATCCCCCTCAGCTCTCCTCCTCCTTCACCAACCTTTTTTTCTGCAGGGCTGTTTCTCCCTCGTTTCTCACTCCTCTCTCCAAACTACTCTCCAAACTGCTGTTGTGTAGCAGTTTGGATTAGCAGCAGGATTGGGAAACAGTAGAGTGCACATCTCTCAAACTGACTTTGAAAAAGAAATCATAGAATCACAGAATGGCTCAGGTTGGAAGGGACCCTAAAGATCATCTACTCTGACCCCCCCATCACAGGCAGGGATGCCACCCACTAGATCAGGTTGGCCAAGGCCCCATCTAGCCTGGCCTTGAACACTTCCAGAGATGGGGCATCCATAGCTTCTCTTGGCAACCTGTTCCTGTGCCTCACTACCCTTTGAGTGAAGAATCCTCCTAATGTCTAGTCTAAATCTACCCTCTTTTAGTTTGAGACCATTCCCCTTTGTCCTATCATTATCAAATAAACAAAAAGAAATAAATGAAAGAAATAAACTAATGAATTAACTTAATGAATTATATAACTGGGAAAGTTATACAGACTGAGACTTTATCCAGATTACTTTTTTGTGTTTGCATATACTGCTTTTTTAATGCTCATTGTGAAGCATTGCCAAATTTGAAAATATTGTGGAAATACTGCTAGTTATTTCATAATATCTCTCAGGAAGGTGGATGTGCTGTGTGGTGGTGTAGTGCCTATTATAATCTCTTGCTGAAAATTGTCAGATCAATAAATACCTTGAATTCGTGAATATGTTTCCATTTAACCACTTCAGAGTTATCTAACATTCCCATGATAGGGATACCTACTGAGTGGGTACATAATTGGATAGACTAGTGGGTGACGGTTCATATCACCATAAGCACCACTCTTGCTGCACCTCACTGGATACTGTCTAAAACAGCATCAACTAATTCCTCTCACTTCAGTTCAAAAAACATGAACATATTTGACCATTACTAAGAAATTATACACCCTGGAAACACCCAGTCAAAACAGGTTTCATATTAGGGAATGAATCTGCTTTCCTTACCCTTCCTATTTTGAGGGGATCATACTCACACAGATGCAGGACATAGAAGAACACTACCTTGCGGATGGACTGGGCAACACTCTAGGTTATGTTGTGCTGGATATTACTTGGTGAAAGTAACATACAAGTAAGAGGCAGACAGAAGAGAACAGTCTTGAATCCACTTGTTGAAGGAAATTCTGCATGACATCACCTTAGGATGCTTTTCTCTCTTGTCTGGAAGTGAGTGAACTAGAAAATGTCACAGTAAATCTTTCTATTGTGAGGGAAGAAATGGGAAACTATATGGGAAGCTATGATCTCATACTTTTTTTTTCCTGCTAAGTTATGCACTGTTAAGTACAACCCTAGCTGCTTCCCATATATTCAGTCAAGTTGCTACCATGTCCTCAGAGCTCTTTACTGACTTAAGTTTTGTGTTGCTCTGGCCTTAATCAGAATTTCATTAAAAATTAAAAATATATTAGAAAAGGTGTTTTCATCTTGTCTATGTACCTGGAGAAATACAACCCTAGAAAGAGTGATCCACAACAGTATAACACGATGTGGTGTCTAACACACAAGGCTGTACAAGAGCATCGGTACTCAGAATCTCCATTCAGAAATATTTCATGCCAAGATTTTTTTTTCTGGGTGGCAGTCTAATATTAGCCAAGGCAAATATGGTTAGTAGAAAAGGGTAAGGCAAAGCTGTTCATTCATAGCTCAGAACAGGCTAAGCTGGGAAAAACTATAAAATGTTAAATGATAGAAAGTTGCTGTGACAGGTGTAATTGTTAATTAGAAGCTAATTATCTTCTATTGGTAAGTGATTCACAGGTGTTCTGAGCCTTACAAAAAGAGGCAGGGATTCTTAAGATAATTCTGACAGCATTGTGACTTTGTTGCAAAATCTGTGTGTTACTGTCTGTTGTAGTTCAGTGTATTAATTTAATTAATGGACTCTTAGTCCTTTTTGAATGGAAGGCTAGGGAAAACAAGGTAGTGGTCCTGTACCACTGATGGGCAAATACGTAGGGCTTTACTTCCTTTTGAGGAAAACAGAGATGAACTTCTTCTCTGAACTACCCTCTATTATCCATTTTTAGATAAACTACTGTAGGCTTTTGGGGGCAAGTATAACTTTCTGGAAAGCAAATCAAACTCACCTTGAAGTCTTTGCATGCTGTGAGTTCTGTTGCTAGTGGATGCAGTCTACCTGAAACTAATCTGCATAAAGAAGAGAAATGGAAGAAATAATACCTGTCAGCATCAGCATGTAAGTTCACACCAAGAAACCTCCTGTGGAGGCATCTGTTTGTTTTGTTGCTGTTTGTTTTGTGTGTTTGTTCTTTTTTTTTCCCGTTTGAGTGCATGTTTTTTCATGTAGGTCAGCAAAAATGCCCATTCAGACTGATAAGCCAGTCAACCAGGAATGAGTGCTGTACATGGAGAGGGCTTCCAGTCACCTGATGTTACAACTGCCCATTCCAAACCATTTTTATAGTGGCTTTAAACCATTTTGGAATACAGTTGTGGTGGGTTATCTTCATGATTCTGCTGAAAAACTATTCTGGAACCTCAGTCCCATAACTAAATATTTGAAATGTGTAAGTGAAATTCATTTCTGAGCAGTTAGTGCCAAGAATCTAAAAAAGGCTTGGGTATACCAAGAAACAGCTGCTGTCTGTCTCCATGTACAAGACCATTGTGCTATGCTTCTTCAGTCCTACCAAACTCTGCTGACTAAGTTATCATAGCAGGCACTTGTAGAGTTGACCTTGTGTATTCATTTTTTCAGCCACAGAAAATCAGAAGTTCATTTTTATTGCTTTCTATTATTCCTAAGCAAGAAACAAATGAGCAAGGGTGATTAGTGTCAGTGCTTGTTGATCTCTTCCTATTCATACCATGACTGACTACTCTACAGTGAGGTTGCTGGAGATTTTTACAACTGTAATTTTTCTAAGTGCTTGAACTCATGTATTTGGGCTAACAGGCTTGACTGTACTAGGTGACAAAGCACTGTAAACTCAGATTAAAAACAGACAAACTAGGTTATGGACTCAATTTTTTCTTTTCTCCATATCATGCTTTTGTGATTGCTGGTTTGGACTGGACTGCTGGTTTATTATGCCATATGCTACCATCACTATGTTGTTTAAATGTATGTCAAGCAGAGCAAGGACAGCCATACCAACTGTTCTGCATTTAGGAACAGTTACAAAAGCTTTGATCATTTGTATACAAGGAGAGGATTCCTAACCTGAAATCTTGCTTAGAAGTAGATTAGCCTTCAAACCTTCAAAAATATGGTGAAAACCAGGTTGATGCCACCAAGCATTTCACACTGATTTCCTTGAAAATAGTGTTTAGATTTTATTTCAGTTGTATTTATCTGCTTATTCTTTTTTTAAATATTAAAATGTAGCAGTAGTATTCTAATTGTTGTTTATTTTAATAGAAAGAATAAAAAACTTGCAGTAGGGGGATATTAAAAAAGATATCAGGAGATCATAAAATAATGATAAAGCAAAAATTGCTGCTGCTCAGGCAGATAGTGACCATGCAAAGGAAATTAGAACAAATTCTTGTGGAGAGAAAAAGAAAAGATGAAACTGAGAGAATGGGATTAAATTCAGCACAGTTTACATAATGTCTTCACAAAGGTTGCAGCAGAAGCTAGTTTGACCTATAGAAATAAATAGTTAAATAAGGAAACTAGAAGTAGAATAGGACCCTAAGGGTTATAAAAGACACAAGGACCAGAAAAACAGGGTCTCCTCCATCCCAGATCTTAAGGTGTCAAAGATTTTTATATACATGTATACATAATATTGAATAAACATCAGATTGAGGTACCTTTTAATGTCATAACCAGGGAATAACAAATAAATCAATTTTACTTTTAAAAATTGAGTTGTTCAAATATTACTTTGTCATATGGCCTCAGGATACACAAAATTCTGAAAACGACTGGAAAAAATAGAAATATTCTACAATTGTAGATAGCAGACTGGAGCAAATTAAACTCTGGATCAGTAAGACTGATTTTTTCTTAAGACAGGAAAGTAAAACAGTTTTCGTCTAATTACACTTAAGCACAGTATTTTACATGGTATCACCAATTTAAATACATATATATACATATATTTAAAACAAGTGAGGCAATATTTAATAGAAATAGCTTGCTAGTTTAAAAATAGTTGCTGCTAGTTTGGCAGGGAAGAAACTTCTCCTAATCCCTCTGCTTAGATGAACAAAGTTATCCAAGTGAATAACAGATAAACAGATAGAATGTAATAAATAAAAGCTAGTGCCACTGAGCTTGAATTTTAAGAAACGTAAAAATGAGAAAAGACAAATTATTAAGTCTATCTGAATGACTGTTCTTATTTCTATTCTAATAATCTATTCTAACTCCATGTAATCATAGTATTGCATTGATTAGCTCACTGAAATGTAATCTGATTAGTGGTTCACTAGGTTGCATTTAATCTAACTGATTATGCTAGTGCACAGCATCTCTGAGTAGTTTGTTCTGTGTAGTTGTTACTCTAATGCACAGACAGTTCATTAGAAATTCTACAAATAAAAATGATTACCTAGCTCATTGTGATTTTTTTTTCTAGTCTTCTGCACACCCTGGTCATTTTTCCAATATTTGAAATCATGTGTAAAGTTTGTATTGTTAACAGGCCACTAAAATGCATATAGCATGCATCTTATGTCTGTCATCATCTATTTTCAGTCTTCATAACTAAAAAGTAATCATATATATGCACACAAAAATATATATAAAAAATAATGATATATCACCCATGAATACTATTATAGCTTGGTTTTGCACTTAAGCTCTGTTGGTAACCTCCCTGGTGAAGAGTGCCCAATTTGTTTAGTAGCTCCACAGCTCTATTTGCAGGAGGAAATTACAGCTGCAACACAGGATTTGCAATGGTTTCAGTTTCTTTCCGTAATGGATTAGTTCTTATATTAATTCCTATTAAGACAAGTAATTGTTTATAGACAGAAGCTTTAATAGCAGGTTTTCACTCTGCTTTTGTCTTATTGAAAGTCATTCAGCCATGAAAGATTACTCTTTCATCTGGGGACTTGTGGCAAAGGGAAAAGGAAGGTCACCTCTTGCAAATGGACAACAAAAGCATTTTATGCAGCAATTGTTGTTTTGGTAGAAGAGTTAAAAGCCAGAACAATGGAGTTATGGCAGTCAGGAAAAAGGAAACGTGGAATGAAGGAACGATTTGAGCCTGGTTGTAAGGAGTTTGTAACCCCACAGAAAATGTACAGAAGCTAAATTAACCAATAATGTATTTAATGAAACAACCTGTATCTATGAAGAATAAAAAGTGCAAGTATTTGATAGAGCCATTAGAAAGCAAACAATGACATCTTTATCTGTCTCATTCTTCAGCAGTTAGTACCATGGAAAGCTGAGAGGGTGAAACATTTTTATTTTTCTGCTATCCTCTTCACTAACTGTCCATTTTACTTTCCTATATCATGGAAAGAATCATATTTGTTCTATCCTGTCCAGAAGAAGCTCAGTTTTGCTTATGTCTCTAAAGGGGGATTAGGACTGTAAATCTGGAGCTGTACGGTAGAGATGGCAGATGCTGGTATATACTTTCCAGGTATTAATTGTCCAGGTGTCTAAGACCGTGTTTGCTGTGACAAATTCTGGAGTTGTTTTATACCCATCTGATAGGATGAAGATTTTAAAAGTCTTAATCGCAGTTTGCAGCCAGTGGAAAGTGAAAGGACCTGGGGGATGGGCCTGGAATTGAACTGTGAAGTTCAAGGGCAGCCTTGGCTGCAGTGCCCATGAAATGGTGTTGTTTAGGATTCTGAGGGCAGCAAGGAGTGCGCACAGCTAGCTCATTACCCTGGACTTTGAAAGAGCAAACTTTGGCCTCTTTGGGGATCTGACAAAGCCCTGGAGGGAAGAGGGACTAAGAAAATCTGTTTAATATTCAAGGATCACCTCCTCCAAACTCAGCTATTTACAAAGGAACAACAAGTGGACACAATAGAAGTAATAATCTGCCTGATCAAGAAATCAAACATTACTTCCAGATCCTCAGTCAGTTACTTGCCTGGGACCAGTCAATATCCAGTCAGAAGTCTGTGGTCCATTCCTTTGTTTTACTGACTACCCTGGCTGATAAGACGGATCAATGTTTTCAGAGTGGAAAGAGGCTTTAACGTTTGTTCTCCCTCTTTCTACGTGTTTTTGAAAACTACCTTGAGAATCATGAGGAAAAACTCTACCTGGCACTTCTCTAATGCCATTTGAGGAAATCAAATTACACAATGCCCAGCTTCATGCTTAGTCCCAAGCACACCATCAGTGAACCAAAAGGGCAATAGTGTATGACCTTACTGTAGCTCCCATATTCCCTTTCCAAGCACTCTCCACAGGAGAGGCAGAAATATACCTCTCTAAGCACAATATTGAAATATTTTATTGTTTACTTAACTCAGGAAATGCAGGACTTCTAATGTGGAGAGGAAAAAAAAAAGCTACCAAACATCTGCCTGCCAATGGAAAGTAGCAAGTGGAATTCATTGTTTTGCTTTGCTTGCAAGCACAGCTCTTGCTTTACCTCAATCCATGAGTTCTCACACTTACCTTTCCAGTTCTGTCCCCCATCCCAGTTGGGGAGAGTGAGTGAGTGGTTGTGTGGCACAAATGCCTGTTGGGTTAAACAACAATAGTGGAATTGGCCAGGTATTTTTGAGGACCATTAAAGACATTCTTCAGAATAATAAAATATTGAATTATTTTTAGATGTGAGAAAAATGCAGCTAAGCGGAGTCTGGAGCATTCGCTTTGTCAAGTGTTGGTTGAGGAAACAAGTCAGCTGCTGGTGAAAACATTTTGTTTTAGAAGAAACCAATTCAGAGTGTTCATCCAGAACAGCAGAAGAAAGAGAATAGTATGTATGCTGTCAGATCCAGTCTCTTCAGCTCTCTGTGCTTTGAGTGTCAGATAATAGCCATAAATTTGTGTGGAAGAGGGAGGGGTGAGCTTTGTCTCTAATACATGCTCCACGGATACATGACTAGAAGAGAGACTATGGATCTTCTTTTGAGTGTGCCTGTCATTATGATGAATTTCCTCAGTTACAGAAAAAAGGAAGATCACGTGGATCAGCTGCTGCAGTGCTCCTTTGCCAGCCAAGAGAGTTTTTCCTGTGCTGTTATTAAGTAGCCTTATATTTTCTTTTATGTTGGAAATCTGCCCCATAAAAGGAAATCGGTGTCAAAAAAGATAATGCATAGTAGTGTGGTGTTTCCCATCCAGGTGGGAAAGAAAGAAATATGTATTATTTGTGAAGGAAATTGAAACCTTCATGAATGAGGAACAGCAAAGAGCATCTAACATCCTAGAACAGTAAATCTGGCAATGATTTCCAGAGTTACCATTAACACTGTATCCCGTCATCTGAGAATAAAAAGTTCATGATTGTTTTCAGGTACTCAAGATAATTTCAGATTATTTTCTAACCTTTGAGACAGTCACTTGACTGACAACAGAGCTCTTTGTTTAAAGTGACTTTTAATTTCTGTAGGATAAACATTTTTAATGCTTAAGATGAGAATCCATAATTAATTTAATTCAGTTAGCCGCCATTTGATCAGTCTACATGTATATCCATGCGATGGAGCTGTCAAAAAATAGGACTGTGGAAAGATCTTAATGAATGCTTCACCCACTGGATGGTTTTCTGCTTAATTGCAGAGGTAATCTGCATCCCATAGCAGAGCAGATCTCCACACTGCAGCCTGTGGAGGAGCCCCCAGTGGAGCAGGTGGATGTGGCCTGGAGGAGGCTGCAGCCCATGGAGAGCCCCCGCAGGAGCAGGCCCTGGGCCGGAGCTGCAGCCCGTGGAGACGAGCCCACGCAGGAGCAGGGGATCCTGCCTCTTTGAAGTTCCTGTGGCACACTGTAGCTTTCACTCAAAAGATTTTTGTGATAGTTTGGTAGCAGTGCTCAGATATTAAAATGTTAACAGTAGCCAAGCACTTGGGTTTAGGCAGTGGGCTAGTCATGACATGGGGAGAAAAGGTGTTAAAAATGATTCTGATGACAGGTGTTTATTTAAAAGAAATGTGGGGAGCCCATAAGCAACTACGAACTCAAATCACATTATGACAGGATGGATAAACACCATGCTTACTCACCATGGGCTGTAAGGTACATCAGTGTGAAAATATTGCTGAGTACTGCATTTGAGGCACCCAAAAATACATGTAACAGTTGGCTTGCAAAACTGGAGTGCTCTGATGGATGGCTACAAACTCTTCAGAAGGGATGGGCTAGGAAGAAGCAGCAGGGGTAGCCCTGTAGGATAGGGAAAAACAGGAGTTCCTGGGGCTATCAGGAAGGTCATTCTAGGTAACTGCAAGAATTTCATCCCCTTTGGTGTGATGATATTGCTGGTTTTCTGATGTATCCCTACTAGAGAAAACAAAAGTTTTTAGACAATCATTTCCTATAACTAGTAGGTACAAGTATTATATCTTACCTATTACTGAGCTATAAAACCTCTAAGACATTTATCTAATTTGAAACATGTTTCAAGTAATGTTTATTTTACAAAGCTCTTTTCTTTATGGTCAGGTATGCTCTCTGTAAAACAGGAAATTATTTAAACTTTATCTGTCAATAAAATCCCAACCGTATGTTTATGATGTCTCATTCAATTCATGTGATGCTTGCCCACTGTGTTAAATAAACAATCTGCACCTGTCAGTTGTTACAACTCTTACTGGAAAACTTAGTAACATAAAATCTGCATTTGATAGGAATGTTATTCTATTGTTATTATGGTATAATTTATTAAAATCATGGATTCCAGTCACCCTTTGAAGCTTTATATTAAACAGTATCCTAGGAGATGAATGGCCAAAGCTCTAAAATGCAGGTTATAAACAATACTGTAGCGGATACTTTATAATTCATGCAGTCTTTGTGAGCTACAGTAGCAGTTCAGATAAAATTTCAAAACAAAAATATGGATTATATTTAACTTTAAAAAAAAAATTGTTACTCTAGTAAATTGCTGATTTATTCCAAACAAATTATATGTGCTTTCTCATTATAAATTGGCTTCTTTTCTTCATAAATTCAGGAAACATCTTCTCAGCTATTCTGCAAAGCCTTTGCACCACTCCAACTCCCGGCAGAAAGAGCTAGCAGCAAGGATGCATTTCCACAGTTCACTGGTTTCTTCATGGAATCACATCAGAAAAAAAGGCCTCCTATGATCTTTTTAAACAGTGTTTGTGCCTCTGTGCTCAGTGAGCTTGCCCAGACCCTTGGAAATTGGCCTGTTAGTTTGTGTGGTTTGGTTTGGGGCAAGGAGATTTTTAGCACAGAAATACTGAAAGTTTTAAGTCATTCTCTAAGGATATGGACACCTGTCTAACTAAAGCTTTTTGTAAGATTGGTTAGGCTGGCATTTGTAGCTGCTTATAAGCCTCAGCCATACTAAAAACTCTGAGACCTTTGCAAGGGTGTTAGCTCAGCAGATTTGTCTGCTTGGTCTAAATAGTAGCCACAATCCTTGTATTGCACTGCTTTGATTTTTCCATCAAGGAAAGCTAGAGAAACAGGGTGAAGAAATCAGGATTCTTTTACTTTGCTAAAACAGATGATTTTGTCTTTTCCTGAAGATTTGTAATTCAAGTTGCCAGGAGCAGGGAGATTATAATATGATAATATTTGTCAAGTGCAAAAGCTACGAAGAAGACACACAAGAAGGAAGAAATTAAGGTATGGAAACAACTAGGAAGACTACAGAGAAGAGTTTTAGTAAACAGAGGTAAATACAAGTCAAGTCAAACAAAATCTCAATAGAATTGGCATAACAAGGTGACAAAACCAGTGGCAAAATACAGACGTGGAGATGTTAGGAGAGGAGATGTTAGGAGGAATTGATTTATTTCTTAATGGATGGCAGTCTTTAGGTTAGGAAGAAATTATCTATTCATACAGTTCCCTCTGATTTTCACTTCATTTTCTGTAGGTGTAGCCTATTTACTTATTGAGGTAGATTGGCCTCATTCCAAGACTTGTTTGCATGCCATACAGTTAGTGGCAAGAGAGCTTTCTTTCCATGCTAATTATGTTCTTTTAAAAGACTTGCTCCACCTATATGGGTGAGAGCCTGCTTAATGATTCGTATCACACAGGTGAGTAAAAAGAGGAAAAAAGCCAAGCAGTCATTGAGAATGTGGTGAGATTTCTGACATGATTAACTCAGATTCATTCCAGGCAAAATGTTTGACCTCATGATTTCCTCAGCTGAGCCAGTGTGAAGCCAACCTATCTCCAGGAGAGTGTCTGAACATTCATTTTACTGAAAATATTAATGAGTTACAGTCCTGCTTAGCTAACAGCTTCACACCTGAATCCTTCCTCAATCAGGTATGAATGTAAAAATTCCAAAAATTTTAAGGCAACCAGTTTCCTAATAATGATAAACAAAGGAAGTCAGAGGCCAAAAACTAATGGAATACCAGTAATATACTGCAATATATTCTGTTTACCTGCTGTATCTGACATCTTAATGTAATACTGGTCTGCCAGAGTTACTGGAGGCAGTAACTTTATCTGCTCTTCCTCACAAAAGCACTTTCTGCAACACCAGGTCTTAATGCAAGAGCAGAGCAGCTCTGTTACTGGTACAGATAATTTTTCTCATCACCTTTCCACAGAAGCCATGGGCTTTAGTGAGACACTGTACATGTGTAGAACACCATTCAAAGAAATGTAATTCTCAGTCAAGGGAAAAGGAAATACCTATATATATAGCTGAAGAGGGAGTGCAAAGAGGATGGAGTCAGGATCTATTTAGTGGTGACCAGTTGCAGGACAAGATTATCAATTACTTGCTAATAATCCCAATTTCTTTACTTCGGATACCAAGGAGCAGACTCTCCTTGGCAGAGAGTCAAAGCTGAGGCCTCTGAGCACACTTCATCAGCACAATGGTCTGATAACAACCCTGAAGCCTCAATGAAATTAGCAGTTCAGCAGTCCCAGATTGTTATAGGGCATGAGGCACCTGTATGGTCTCTTTCTCACCACATTTCAGTCACACACCTAAATCCAGGCTCATGTAATGGCTGCGAGACATCACTCCGACTTGCCTGGTCAGTATTTCTGAGGTTTTTGGCACAGCCTGAGGTGGCAAAATGACAAATGCTTTGTCAAATGCCAAAATGCTTTGGATGCTCTTTACAGACCCATTCAGCAGAATAAAAATTTTCTTACTTAAACAAGAGGAAGAGCGGATCTTCGTTACTGCAGAAGCTTCACCAAACGGGATGGACAAAGCAGGGCCATGGAGTAGCTGCTATGAGAAGGCATGTTGTGGCCTCGTGCACACAAGGAATTTCAGAGATGCTACAATCTATTACAGGTGGGCAGAAAGGAGGAAGATCATTCCTTCTGAGATGCCCCTAGTTAACTAGAATTGTATGTTGGAAGGAGTCATCCTGACAGACAGTTTGATGTCTCTTATGTCACTTTTACTGAAGCTTCAAGTCTGGAAGCAATTGGAAATCTCTGATATTTCTATGATCTTGGCTGCTAACAGGGTTGTTCATTCAAATGGCAACAGCATGTCAGAGCTTTGAAATGTCTCAGTGATGATCAGCAGCTGAGGCTGAGAAGAAAAATTGCCATTATTACATCCATGAGGAAGAATAGAGAAAGATTTCAATGACAGTTTTGTCACCCTTTAGCAATGCTGTTTATATGCAGCTTAAAACATAGTTTACAATTTCCGTGATATTCAGCCTTTCCTGATCTGATTCACAGGGTTATAAACTTTCTAGAAGACCAGTGGTACACAACAGGTATGAACCAGACCCAACAGATGCCTGTAGTAAAGTGGCACCAGATGGATGAAGCCCATGCAAAACTCAAAGCCAAAATAACTGAAATCCTACAAGTTACCAGTTACTACACCCCAGACTGATTTCAAATACGTGTTGTTGTTTTTGTTTTTTTTAATTAGAGCAGTGGATGTTTTGCTTTGGGATTTTATTTATATATATTTCTAGGTTAGTTCATGGTATCCAGAAAACAAAAACAAAACAACAACAACAAAATGGGCACACAGTTTATAACTATGCCTATGCTTCAGAGGTAAGGTAAAATGTGTACTGAATGCTATGAATCACATGTAATTATAATTATATAAAATTACATCTAGGAACTACAATGGGAATTTCTTAAAAAAAATAATTCAGTGATGAGCGTAAGTCAAAATAAGGCTTTCTCCTGCCTTTCTCCTGAAAACATACATTTTAAAAACATTCATCTATAATTCTGCAGACATTGATTTTATTGACTATGTGCAATGTTAATCAATTGCTGTTAGCTAACAGTGCAGCATGTCACATCCAGCACAGTATGCTGTCAGTGCATAAGCATCAGGTTGGTAATAGCCCAAATCCCTTGCACAGAAAGAGCTTTCTACTGTACTTCACAATGACTGTCTTGAGACAGTGTTGAGACAGTGATGTCTTCTAATGAAGCCCTCCCTAGCTTACTCAGTTTGTCTGTTCCAGGTCCCCACATAGTATATTTCTTTGCATTTGAGGAATCCAGAGAGAAAACTGGCCTTTGTCAGGAAGTCAACAAACAATTTAATTTAAATGAACCACAAGCAATCTTGTGACCCTGACTTCTGCTTCAGCTCAGAGCCATCTGGCTGAGTTCATGTGTTTGGCACTCTGGGATGAGTGTCCAGGTTCTCCAGGTAATTCCAAGCTCTAGTTGATAGGATGCTAGTGGGGAGAGGAGTTTGTGTGACCCATGACTGATTCATTTATCTGAGAGAAGCTTTGAGTTCATAACTCACACCAGAGGCTTTAAAAGCTAAATTACATGTTCAAATAATAACAGTGTTGTTTATAATTAAACTACCTTGCACTGTGACTCAGTCAGAAAACAAGAAAGAAATTAAACACACAAAACTTGGAAGATCCTTACCATGTACAAAATATTGACACGACATGATGCCACTAAGTTGGTAAGACTGTTCATGGTATTTGAGTTTAGTATTAAATGCAGATTCAGTACTGGATATGATGAAGCTGATGGACTTTGGAATTTTTTTTATTTCCTGGTTTAATACCAGACAAGATATCGTGAGGACACCAGCAAGATGCAGCTGAAGTCTTATGAAAGTTTACTACCAAGGCAGAGAATGATTTGACAGGAAAATAAATAAATAAATAAATGAAGTACTATAAGTCCTAGTTTCTTACCTTGTGCAGTTATCTCAGCGACTGGACTATAGTAAGCTGACAACTGTCTCTCCCACTGTAGCCCTTTACAGAGAGTCCCAATAGTAAAATGGTGGCAGAGATGTAAATTCATCAGTGGAAAAGCTACTCTAAGTTTTGAGGAAGGCCCAATATAGCCTTGAAATTTGCTGGTAGACTATCAGGCAGTTCATAGTTAAAATACCATGTGTTTGTCCCCAGTATAGCGTCCTGGTTTGGTGAGAACACATTTCCAAACTGCCTTTCATCTGGGCTTCCCATCTTCAAGGTAGTCTCTAAATGTGTCAAGGTAACAGCTAAGTGCAGAATGCTGAAAGCACCACATCAGCACTGGGGAAAGGAAGAAAAAAAGTAAAAGGGAAAAATAAAATAAATGGGGTCGTACAGGAGTTAAACCGACAGGGAAAGAGGTCCATGAAAACTTCCTCTAACAAGGACTTGATGCCTGTTAGGTGTTCATTTAGGGTATGGCAGTGCTGATCATAACAAAACTTGGACAAGTTTGGGGGCTAGACTACCACAACTGTAAATGAATTATATGTGGTTACTACAGTGGATA